CCTCCCTCCCTCCCTCCCTCCCAAAAGTTAGGCCTATGAATGCTTTACTTTCCCCCTCCTGGCCTTGAATCTGGTTCCTCTACATAGCTCTCAAATCCCTTTGGCCCCTATGAGTTGTGCTCCATGGTGACCTTTGAGGTGTTTGTTTGTTTGGTTTGGTTTTTTAGTGTTACATTTTTCAAATAGAGCATCTTCTGCGTGTGGCCAGGTAGAACCAAGCCTGCATGGCCTTTGTCAAGGAAATTGTTTTTATTTAGTAGCCAACTGGTTTTGTGTGGTCCAGCCATAACTCAGTAGTTGTATTTTTTTTTTAACACTATAGTAGTTTTAAATGATGATTAAGTAATGTGCATGTGGTATTATGATGAGTTAATGCATTTGTTCTTTAAACAGATTGAGAGATTAAATTTTTACCAGAGATTCAAAAAAGACACACACCTAAAAAAGTATAAAACTTGGGAAACTGGAGACTGTGTTTCAGAACTACATAATTCTCTAAATTAATTTGTTACGATGACTTTCTTATTGACTGTCTTTCTTCTAATAAGTGTGATTTTTTTTTTCAAGCTTGTTCGGTGGGTGGCACCCCTCATCCCAGGAAGTGGTTCTTTGCAGTGCAAGCAATATGCGGATTTTATCAGGTAATAGCTATTAGCAGGTGCCTTTCCTACTGGGAAGAGTTTCCCTAACCCACTTTGTTTAATGCCACCCTTTTGATTGGTTGGTTTTGTCACAGCTATTGGGAAATGCTATGAATGACTCCACGACTCCTCTTCTTACCACCATCTTGTGTTAGTTTTGTAGTTCTGATTGGCAAGAGATACATCTCGACACTGAAAAGGATAAAGTAGAAGATGTCCTTCAAGCAAACATAGAAGAATGTCAGAGGGCTGTTGAGTGTTTGGAAGAAGATGACAGTAATAGCAGGGAGTCCCTGTCCTTGGCTGAGTATGCTTCCATGCCTGTGCTACCTTTCAGATATTTAACATTAGCCAGTCGTTTTGAGACAGGACAGAAAAGATGGACTATTTTAGCAATTAAAGTCAGGGAATTTAATCAACTATAATAATATTTAATACTTCTGTTTGGGAAGATCCTAGGCAGTTTAGCCATGTTGTCTACTCAATGCCTGAAAATGTTGCCTGGGTTTGCATAGCTGTTAGTGTGCTGTTTGCACTGGCATAGCCATTTCCTGAAGCTGACTTCTGCCTGATACTGTGGTAGCCAGAATAGAGGAGTCACTTAATGCTAACGGCTAGCACTCAGACTGGAGCACATTGTTCTTTTGCTCTCTGTGGCTGACACGTGGGATTTTATTTTATTTTATTTTTTTCAATTTATATGCCTCGTCAACATTTCTGGTACTTTCTGTAATCCACAGAATTTCTGAGGAGTGTCAGTGTGACTGACTTCACTTGTAAGCTCCTTGACTCTTGTTAGAATGTGAAAGGCGATCCAAGCACTAAGTTGTGATAATCTCTTCCTTCCTAAGATGTTCCATTTCTGACGCTGTTAAGCCCTTTCGTCTTAGCTTTCATCATGTGATGGGAAAAGCTTTTGTTTTCAGTATTCATATAATATACCTGTAAGTTGTATGGGCTTTGAGAATTCCTTCTCCCTGATTTCAGATTGTATTATTCACTCTGTTAATGAAGGGCGTGTAGAAGAGGGAGGAACTGTGGAATTAGCAGGAGTTAGAAAAGGACTCTCCGGTTATATGAGGCAAAGCCGGGACTTAGCTCATTTGTTTACTTAGGTCCTTTGGTTACTCATTCATCAAGTATGGACGTTCTTTTAGGTACTTTCTAAGATGTCTCCATGGAGCCTTAATCAACTCCTGTTTTATCACTGAGAAAAACTATGTGGTAGTTTTACATGTGGCCTTATTTCCACAAGAGGGAGCCTGAAAACTATAGTTTAGCACAGGATGCTTTAAGGTTTTTGTCTTAAGACAATATCTCCTTACCCTGCATAATAAATTATTCTGAGAGCGAAATTTCACCATATGAATAAAATTCATAGGTCTTTTTAGGAATCTGAGCAAAATGTCATATTCTCAGAGAAGACGTAGAACTAACTTAGAGTAAAGCAGTGTCTTATTAAAACCTTCTGGCTTGCTTTGAAGACTAGGAACATGTTTGGTTTATTATTTATATTGACTATATAAATATAATTTAGGAGCTTGTTCCCATTATTATTGTTGGTTCTGTTTGGTTTTGGGGTGTGGGTAAGAGCTTGTCCTTGCAGGTTGACTGCTAGTTTTCACAAATAATAATTACATGACTTTAGGACACTTATTTAAAGGAGAAATACTAAAGTTAATGGTACATGGGTTTGTCAGCTGAGTCAAAAAAGGTAGTATGTCTACTGTATGGGACTGTGTGGCACACAGATCATTATTGCCTGTTTTGATTATATGATTTGTGTGTGTGTGTGTATGTGTGTGTTTATGCCATATGTTTGTATAGGATATTTTTATCTAAATCTATTTTTTTATTGTAGCCTATATGAAGAATCAGCAGAAAATTTGCATCAGTTATCAGACAAACTTCCTGCCCCTGGTAATACAATAACTGTTTGTCCTCATTTGTATTTTCTCATTTTTATGAATGAGTGTTGAATTCAGTGTATTCTGTAGAACATTAATCCTGTAAGTTCCAGGAAAAATAGATTTTTTTTTGACCTAGATAGTTTCGATAATATTCTTTTATGGTGCAGTTGGCACATACACCAACAAATGGCACATTGCACCGTAGAACAAAGCTCTTTCCTCAGCATTTTTTTTTATAGGAATCATTTTTTGTTCCTAAAATGGGAAGCATATTTTATGAAATGCTATATGATAGTATCCTCCAAGATTCTTTTTTTTTTTTT